TATTCGAAATATTGAATTAAAGCACAATCAAATAAAAATAAATGCTTTTCTTACTATAAAAATTCTATGCATCTGTCTGGCATCACATAAAAATATTTTTAAATGAATCGTTACATCTATTCAGCCAAAATATTAAAACTTGGAATCGTCTTTGATAATAATAGAGAAGCAAGTGTTGAAATCGATCATTCATTTTACGGTCATTCGTTTTATACCTTAGCCATCAAGTGGCAACACGATGAACATGTGACATGGCTCCAATGTTTCAAGTATTCAACTCAAACACATGAAGGACTAAACTCTTTCTCTTTTATGAGTGATTCTAATTGATAAAATATTCCCAGAACATCTTCAACCTGCATGGGTTCGCGGTCAACGTCACAGACTTTACCTCACACGAGGACAATCGCTTGGTTCTCGGCAAGGGTCACTCAGCCTGATGGAAATAGCGTTCTTTACCCGCGAGAGGTCGAGGGCCTTTACGCTGCCTTTCACTTGAGATAAGGAGTGACCGCAGCCGCGAGAAACATAAACTATTAATGGTTACCTAATGAATGGCATTGCTGTGGTGCACATTTCCTACTGGAGTCACTGGAAGGATTAGGATGATGTAAATTTTGCGGTTGCGATCCTAAAAGGGAAAACAAATTTTAGGTTCATTCGCTATCATCAATCAAAAAATGGATTACGGTAGCCAATTGAAAGCAAGTGTCTCAGGTATACAGGATGATACGAGTATATGCAGTTTCGCTACTACAATATACAATCGTGTTATGGCATAGAATTAAGATTTATTTAAGTTTCATGATCGTTTCTGACATGTTGCATCTTTTTATCTCCGATTATATAATAATTTGCTTCTTAACTGGGAAACAATTTCCCAACATCGTGTCATATAATTTTTCATTCTACAACAAACGTTTGCGACAATTTACGACATCATAAATCCATCATTCAATCACCATTCCGACGTGAAAATGTCTTGACCAATTTTCTTTTCAGCATCGAACCATTGAGCTTTTCATCACCGGTGTGTCGTGGGAGACGTGAGCGGCTTCGTGAGATCCAACATTTAACTACCAATAATTGTTTTAAAAATTATTATACTAAATAAAGTTTTCGTCCCTGGAACAATCAGCAGCATTATTGTTGTGACATGCGCGAATTGCCGTACAAATTAAAATGTTCCACGGCTAATATTTTATTACAGAGTATACTCAGAAAAATAAATGTAATAAATATAATGAAAATAATGATATATAATCATTTTTCCGTCAAATTATGCGCCCTTAAGACGGAAGAAGCTGAATACGCTATTATCATATGCACAGTGAACGTTTTTTTGCTAAGCTGAGAAGGTAAGGTCAGCTTGTTGTGCCAAAGCTCACAACCCGCATCCCAGTTTTTGTTTTCTAAGCATGAAACTTGCTTAACGTAGCGCATTAACAACAGTTCATCATTTAATCATTCACTTCCAAGTTCAGAGCGAGATTAACGATTAAACTTGGCGTTTTCTCGACTAAAACGAACGCCTGCATGCTTGCCATGCACCGCTCTCGGCGCCTATACGAACGTAATTGTTTTACACAATAAAAGAGAACGTGGTATGTTGATGTGACTACCGTGCGTAAATGTAATGATGCGCACGGTACCATGAGACCTTAGTGCGTGCACGGTATTACGAGATATTCTCATATTCATGATACCATGACACCTTGGCCCATGACCTTGACACGATCATGATACTACGGGACTTTCGTACACGCACGGTACGGAGAGGCATTTTCATATTCACGGTACCGCGAGACCTTGTTAGATGCATGGCAATAAGAGACCTTTACTTTATGGTAACACGATAACCGGGTAAGTGTGGAATACCACCAGACCATGGCACACGCACGGTCCCACGACACCGTTGCACGCGCACGGCACCACGAGACCTTGGCACGAGCACGGTACACGCGTGTCTTAATCGCGCGCACGGTACCACGACACCGTGGCACGCACTGTACACTCGTGCCCTCATCACGCGCACGGTACACGCGTGCCCTCATCACGCGCACGGTACACGCGTGTCCTCATCACGCGCACAGTACACGCGTGTCCTCATCACGCGCACGGTACACGCGTGTCATCACGCTTGCGTGGGGTCAACCAAGGCCGATCATTATTTTATCCATACGAAGCGTTCGCGTCGTTCGCTTCCAGCTTGTTTCCATCATCACGAGGATCTATTCGTTTAATTGCGACATTTTTCATTCGATGTTTGGATTTTCCGAGATTTAATCCTGGAAGCTTATTGACAAAGATTGGATGGCAGTCTAGAGTTTTGATTGATTATTGAAAAAGTGAAGTTTGAAGTTTTGAGGCTTCATTCAACAGTCTGAAAAAATATTTTGCTGATGGAAATCTTAAATAATTTAATCGCTCCGTTATTCTTTAGGGTGAGACTAAAATATCCAGCTTTTCGATGTAACTTTAATTACGTACTCGGTCAATTTTCATCGAAGTTAATTAAACGGTTTTTTGGATTTTGACTGGAGATTCCGTTACTATTGAAAATATATCAAGTATTTTCTTTCTGTTTCAAATTTTATCACGTGCTATTGATTTCTTCGATTTTCATTCGAACATTCGTTAGTATTGCAAACCTTATAACTAATTTCATGTCAGAACGTCAGTACGGAAGGTCGTTGAGAACATGACAAGCTAACGTCGGCCAAGCCAAGGGAAGAGCATAGAAGGTCACCCTTCCGCAAACTAAATCTTCAAAATAAAACATATAATGATAGGAATTTTCAATCAGTTTACTGATAATTTAATCAAAAAATATAAGCTGACGGAGAAGAATAACCGGCACTTAGTAGATGTCGGTTCAGCCTATAGCCAATAAGCAACAAAATATTCAAAATAACAAAATGCTTGCTATAAAAATCTGTCCGAACATCACAGTTAAACAATTTGAAAATTCTCCGCTACAAATTTTCCTATTTGAAATTAATATCAACATGGAAAATTATGACTGCATTTAAATTAAGTTAAATTAACTTAAATTATGACAAATTTAAATCAAAATGTTGCTATTAATTTTGAATCTATTAATTTAGGTCTAATTTCTCTTCAGCGTCCGAAGTCAATCAGAAAAGAAAAAAGTTTGTGGATCTTTAGGAATTTCCGGCATCAAGTTAATACGGAAAGTCCAATATGTCGCTGTAATGACAGTAATGATAATCAAATATCCTCTCAAATATTTTTCCTTATTCAATAAACACAAATAATCGCTTCGATCAATAATTACAACATTTTGTTCTGCATAAGACTATCAAAGATAGCTTCACATAAGGAATGAATTTAATAACTGCTATATAATCACAGCCGTCGAAATCGTTGATTTCTGGAATGCATTTAACATGAAATATGTAAAACTCCAACATTATTTCCTTAACTCTCTACTACCCGAGCCTACTAATACTTATTCCGATAGTTTTCCTAAATGAGTTGAGAAATTTATTTAGTATTTACTGTCCATGTTTAAAAATCCATCCTCAAATTCATGATGATATTTGTACCTGAATTATTGTGGAACCAATTGGGCACTAAAAGACTGGAAATTTGTGACTTAGGAGCAGGAAACGTGAGTACTAAAACGCCCATTAAAACGTCTCGTGGCGAGACTATAGCCACGTTCTCTGCCGCATTATTTTTTCTTGAACGCTTCCAAGTGAAAAATCATTTATCGATTTTTTAGCCACATTCATCACGTGGCTTTGCATCAGAAAGGGATTCTAAATTTTAAAAATTCATACTTACCGCTCGCTCAGAAGGTTGAAGTACAAATGACATGTTAAGAATTCCGATAAAAAATTATGTATGTTTGAATTTTTTATTTTTTATCAGCATTATGAGTTAAAAATTAAGGAATTAATAACCCCAATCATGCGGCTAATAGTGTCAGGCACAAATGAGAAATTCCATCTCTTTTGAACCGAGCAGATAAACCTAGTGTTTAAAAAACGCATCATGTGCATCCAAACCAGAAAAAAATGAGCAACAGCAAAACAGCAGAAAAACGGCCAAAATAGCAACAGCAGTAGAAGAAAGGAGAAACAGTGGCACCAGCAAGCAACAGCAGCGCCTCTAGCATCAGCATAAGCAGCACCAGTAACTCCAGTAGCATCAGCAGAAGCAGCATCAGTAGCAGCACCAGCAGCAGCAAAAGCAGCACCGGTACAAGCAGTACCAGCAACAGCACCATATGCACCAGTAGTAGCAGCAGCCTCAACAGTGTATAGCATCAGCAGCACCTGCACCAAAGGCAGCAGCAGCATCAGCATCAGCAACAATAGCAACAGCAGCACCAACAGCAGCAACATCAGTAGCAGCAGCAGCACCTGCATCAGCAGCACCAGCAGCAGCGCCCTATGCATTAGTAGCAGCTGCAGCAGCAGTAATAGCAGCAGCAGCAGCAACAGCAGCACTAGAAGACAAAGCATCAACAGCCATAGCAACACCAGCAGCAACAGCAGCACCAGCGGCACTAGCAGCAGCAGCAGCTTCTCTTGCCCAACATGAGGACACGTTACTGACATGCAAGGTCACGTTCATCATCGTAAGAAGAATTTTTAATTTTGCCTGCGCTCTCTCCAATTATTTTCTGCCTGTCACAATGACGTATTTCTAATTTTTTCTTCGCCATTTTTACAAAGATGAATTTCGAAAGTAACACTATTCATTCCTGTTTTCGTATTATCAAAATTCTTAATAATTATATTCTTTCTATTAATCTTGAATCTCTTCCAACATATAACGAAGATTTAATTTGAATAACTAGTTTCGAAGGTCACGAGGCCGGAATGTTATTTAGAATTAAAATCAAGCGTGGATCTCAATTGGCACTGGTGGTTCTCACCAAACCGGTTTTGAGTGCCATCTTCAAGCGGTGACCCGCCATGAAGTGCCGACAGCGTCCGCGAGTATATAAGGCCGAGCTGACCTGAGAAGGCATCAGTGCCCTCAGGTGTCGCTTACAGTGAGTACGGTTCCTCGCTCATCCAGAGGAGGGAAAATTTTTGAAGGTTATCGGTGTACGCTAGTTGATGTTAACTGACCATTTTTGTAAAGGAATATTGTGAGAGACAGGCTATCTTTTTTAAATCTGATACTTAGAATCCCATAGAATTTCAAATAGAATATTTATGTTTAAAATGAGACATTGATAGCGTAATTCCTTCGCAATCCGTGTTCATGTTTTGTGTCTGTTATTGTTCACCGAACAGAACTGCCCGGAGCAGCAGTTATTATAATGTTTTGGCACGATCATTTCAAGACAGATTAATCAAACATATAAGACTTCAGTTTTCAAGCTAGAAATCAATTCATTGCATACCTCGGGAGATAACAAGTATTTATGGAAAAACTAATTAATTGCCAAATTGGGTATACCTACAAAAGTCTACGGATAAAATATGTCACAAAACACCGAAAAAATCTACGGGTTTTCCTTGGGTTTATTTATGAACATATGAAAAGGAGTTGACAGAGTACTGCAAAATTTTTATAGAACATGAATTTTTTTCATTTTAATGTTGAAGTTTCGTTAAATAGCCACTGGAGTTGATGTTTTATGAGCATTTTCAGAACTTTCCTCCTTGATTCAGAATTAAAGTGTAAGAAAATAGAATAAAAATCTAAAAATATTCAGTGAAATCGTTCCTAAAATCAATCCGAGCTGAAGTGATATCCTCAGTAACTGTCACATAGATTAACACAACGGAAATATACGGACAAGAAATTAGAACTTAAATACAGAAGAAAATATTTTTAATTACATTTTATTTTCTTCTAAGAATCTAAGTTAAATTGCGATTCCATAGGTACCTTAATGTTCCATTGGATCTTTTTGATATTCATTAATATTCACCCTGTCTTCCAGACCCACAAGATGAAGGTGATCTTGGTCCTCGCAGCCATCGTGTGCTCAGTCGCCGGTCACGGCGCTTACCGTTTCTCCGATGGCTACTTAGACGTCCTGGGAGGCGAGCCTAGCCAAAGCTTCTCGTGCGACGGCCGACCCTACGGCTACTACGCAGACGTAGACAACGATTGTGAAATTTTCCACGTTTGCTGGCCTGTTGAAGACGATGCAGGCGCGATCACAGAAACTGCCCAGTATTCCTTCTTCTGCGGCAACCAGACTGTCTTTAGTCAGGATACTTTGTCCTGCGCGCATCCCGAAGACGCTTTCCCTTGTGACCAGGCCGCAGGATACTATGATATCGTCAATGCTGAATTCGGAAGGATCCCCGATGCTAAGGCGTAAAATTACACAATTTATTGATTCCAACCCAATTGTTGCGATGACAATTTCACGAAAATTCAAGAAATCTGTGATGTTCATAAAACGTATTTCAAAATATGATTAAATATGATTTACATTTTTGTAAATAAATTTGAATTTACTTAATTGACTTACTTATTCCATCGGTATCTGATTGTTATTCAGTGCATAGAAGCAAAACCATGTAACATTAATTGTGAGCAACAGATTTGAGGCGATGAATCGCGGGAGAATAATTAGGAATCCTGCTTGAAACCAATCTCTAAATGGCTGTAAACTTGAATGTTTTTCAGTCCATCTTGAATGTTTTTCAGTCCATCATCCCCATTGCATTTTTCCGACGAAAAATGTCTTTTAATCAATTATCTAAACAATTTTTACGGAATTAAGATCTTCTTCCGATAAAGTAGAAAATTCATCGAATCAAGATTCAATCTTGTTGCAATGAATAATCAGGATCTCCTTCTGGATGAATGGAGAATCAATAACTCCATCTGTTTGGATGGAGAATCATGAATTCCATTGATTGGACGGAGAATCAAGAACTCCATCTGTTTGGATGGAGAATCAAGAACTCCATCTGTTTGGATGGAGAATCATGAAGTCCATCTGTTTGGATGGAGAATCAAGAACTCCATCTGTTTGGATGGAGAATCATGAACTCCATCTGTTTAGATGGATGGAGAATCATGAATTCCATCTGATAGGATGGATAATCATGAATTCCATCTGTTAGATTCAACAATGTACACAGATTCACGAACTCCATCAGAACGAGTGTTGATGCGCTATAGAACGAGTGTTGACGCCATTCTCACGCCAGCGTCGGCTGGAAAAGACATTTGCCGATCTTGTCAATCCTGTAATGGAGATAGGATGCGAGCTAATCCAGCTCGAAAAAAGTTAAACTCAAGATAAGGACTTTGATCGAAACCTAAGTATGAGACGTAATAATACAAACGCTGAGAGAGTAATCGATGTTCAACGATTAAAAACATAACAGGCTACCACTTTTTTCAAGCATCGACAATTGGTCTCTGGAACATTTTTACTGAAATTATGAAGAATTATCTCAGAGTTTTTATATTTTTGAACTCCTGTTTATTTCACAGTCTGAGAACGCAAATGATATCACTTATTGATATGAAAACTATCTGATAGTAACATTTTCATGCAAACATTTTCAATTCACTGGCTAGCTGTGGTTTTATTTGAGATACCAGCAGCAAGTTCATTCCATCTCACGTCAATCAAATGTGATTCAATAAAAAATTGAAAGGAATTATGTTCGTTTCTTAAAGGAAAAACACCTCTCCAAATTATTAGTTAACCATTTTTTTAATTTATTTGAATAACATTAAATTATATTGAAATAACATAAACCCATAATGCTTCGGGTAAAAGTTTCATATATAAGTACTCGCACAAAAATTTTTTTAGTTTGACGCCTTTCAAGTATTAGAACTCGCACAAAAAAATTTTAATTGTGACGCCATGAATCCGAGGCCATGCCTCATTTGCAGTTGTAATTTCTAGCGAGTGTTTGGGTCATTCATTATTCATGTTTTAATGAATGGGTTGACGCGGCGAGATTGCGCTGCAGAAACTCAGCATGTAAAGAGTACAGGCCTGTGCTGAATTGTGACCCTAAGGCATGGTTTAAAAGATTTCACGTCTCATCACGCCTCTGCATGCCAAGTGGCAGCCGTACTCTGCATTTAACTACAGCAAATATCGAACTAAATTTTAACAGCTGCTAGAGTGCAGGGTGTCATGCTGGCAGAGGACCTCGTACCGAACCTCTTGCATCTTTCACATTCGTATGCCGACTCTGTTTCTCCGTAGACTTGATCGGTTGCGTCTGATTCGTTGTTGAAATAACAAAGAGCCTTCTCTACGATAAATTTATCGTGATCCCTTCTTCGTGATCCCTTATTCGTGTTCCCTTCTTCGTGATTCTTTCTTCGTGATACTTTCTTCGAGATCCCTTCTTCCTAATATCTTCCTAATGCCTTTTTCGTGATCCTAATTTTGTGATCACTTCTTTGTAATACCTTCTTCGTGATGTCTTCACCCTTGTTCATTCTTTTACTTTTTTCTTCATGTTGACTTTTTTCATGATGAGCATTTTGGAACGCCTCCATAGATAAGCCTTCATCTTGATGCATTTTTCGAACCTTCAAAATCCTCATCACAAGTAAGGAGATCGAGCCATGCGGCCTTCTCCATGGTACCTTCATCACGCGGCCTTCTCCACGTTGTCTTCCCCATAGGAAATTCATAACGCGGTCTTCTCCACGCGGCCTTCTCCATGCTGTCTTTACCAGGCAGCCTTCTCCATGCGGTCTTCTCCACGTGGCCTTCTTCGTGCTGTCTTTTCCAGGCAGCCTTCTCCATGCTGTCTTCTCCACGTGGCCTTCTCCATGCTGCCTTCTCCATGCTGTCTTCTCCACGTGGCCTTCTTCGTGCTGTCTTTTCCAGGCAGCCTTCTCCATGCTGTCTTCTCCACGCGGCCTTCTCCATGCTGTCTTCTCCATGTGGCCTTCTCCATGCAGCCTTCTCCACAGAGCCAGCGTCTTAAGCCTGAAAATGGATGCTCTACAAGAGCCTGGGACTTACGCGACGGATGATGTGTGCTGGTGGATATCAAAGTGAGCAGCCTTAATCATCCTGTTCTATCCACCATCACTATAGTAACGTGCTGCTCATACAACTCTGACCCGCCGCCATCACTGCTACACCGAGAGAAATAATTAGGACTTTGTCCAAGTAGCCCTTGTGTAGGTCATCCTGACCAAGCTTGGCTCGGTCATTATAAGTATCAGTATACTAGCTTTGTTCTCTGCTGGCGCTGTGAGTTTCTATGTGTAAAAGTATTTGGATAATATTACACATACATTTTTCTGAGTATGATGCACTGCTGAAATTAAACTTCACAATGCAACTTCATCCAAAGTAATGCATTTTCAAGGGCCACTATTAGCCTTGTGGCGGTAACTGAATTTTTTAACCAGTTTACGAGAATTAATTTCTAACATGCAACCTAATTTAAGGTTACGTGAGCTATTGCATCTGCTGCATATTTCATGGCTGCATAGTTATATGAGTTATGTTACCATACGTTACGATGACATGACTCATGTTACCACACGTGTGTGGCAACGTTACAACACGTGTGTGGCACGAGTTATATTGTCACACGTGTTATATGACTTATGTTACCACACGTTACGATGGCAAAATGATACGATTATTTCACCTATTACGATGATACAATAGTACGATAGGGATACTCTGTTACTATGGTATGATTGTGATTGAAGTTTCAATCGCGCTTATGAATGATGTTCCAGCGCGCAGCTCGCCTTGATTACGCAGCGTCTCGGACTCTTAAGAAAACCAAGCCGTCAGGAAAGGCCGCAAAATTCGCGCTCGGAACCAATTACATGCAAAGCAGTAGAGCAGCATTCTTCGTGACTCGGCAGAATTTTCTTGAATCTTTAAGAGGAGTTGAAATTCCCATACCTGGAATTTTCTCTTCTGTCCATTAATCGAGAAATTGGAGTTTAAATAACGCAAATTACTCGACGTAATCTTGCCTTAGTATTGTTGAATAAGCGGAAGTTATTTCACAATCTTTACCATCCATTAGCTTAATTTATAGATTCCTATTTTTTATACATTGGTAATTAAAGTAGAACGAAAAAATTAGCTGTCAGAGGTCTTTATGTCTTTTATCGTAGATTTAATAGATTGTGGTTAAACACAATAGAAAAAATCTAAATTTTACTCAAGGAACACAATTGCAAGAACGGAGTTCGTCTGACGTTCGTCATCTATTAGATTTCAATTTATCGGTCTCAGGAAACTTGCATGAACTTTGTTGAAAATTCATTATTTTCAAAGCCTAACAATGGGAACAGACAAGCCGAAACGTCGCAGGTTTCGTGACACTAATGACAAATGCGAGTCTGCTCAGGTAACGAGCAGGGCTTCCATATAATCATTTCCAAAATTCAAGTCCCCCTAAAAAATAAAAGTTCGTCCTCAGAATACATCCGCTCAAGAAGGTAGCTTTCGCACGCAAATTTTCTGAAGTGATCCAATTTAGGTGCCGTTGTTGGAATTCTTCAGAAGGTCTCCGTGGCTCAAGCCTCATCATCTGCATGCATTCCGCTTTAAAAATTTTCCATGCGATTTTTGGTTGAGGGATTTTATTCAGCCAAAAGTCTCGAACATCAAGATGATAATATTTTTTATTGTTAGCAGGAGATTAGTTAGCTATTTAATTCATGTTGTTTTCGTCAACTAGACTGATTATGTTAAATAAAAAATATTGGCGTCGTCTGGCGATGAACACAACGTAAAATTTAACTCCACGAAATGGGTAAAGATTTGTCTGATGATGCCATAAATATTCTAATACCTCCCAGATTAGCAGATTGTCATTTATGAAAAGAAAAGTATAGACTTTTTATCGCAGAATATACATTTGAAAAATATCTTTTGCTGAATAAACATATGGACTGTAGCGCAATCCATCAAGCTCAAAAAGTTTAGCGGTAAATTTGAATTCCATTATCTATTTTGTATTGCCAAATCCATTGTATGGAAACGAAAAATCATCGTTCATAGTTGCTTCATGCATGGAAGATAACACGCCACAGTTTCTCTCGAGCTATAGTAATTTCCACCGTTGATAAATCCATTATACCAAGTCATTGACTTTTATTCTATTCTATCTACTAAATCCAATTAATAATAATTCAAAAAATTTTATAACCTCAGCCAGCAAAAGTTGTCTGAAATCTTTCATACAAAAAATCCTGCTTAACAAATTTGTTGCTGAATCTAAGGCTGTGCTTGAATCAGATGAATTTCTAAATAATTTTGGGCGCAATACAGTTTATGTAGATCTTTGCCTTGTAAACATATAGAAGCTCTTCAATTGCGTATCCTTTAAATATACCGCATCTGCATATAATTTAAAATATAATTTCAA